TATATATATATATATATATATATATATATATATATATATATATATATATATATATATATATATTAAACATGTTTTAATTAACCTAATTTGTTCCGTGCATGTACCAAATTCATTTAGAATTTTGTACAATATTTCTGTCATAAATGGAAAAAAGCTTTCTTTAAGTCAAAATATGACTGCTGTATTGGTCCATTGTGTTTACAGTTTTCCTCCAGTGTCTAACAATTGACTAAAATGTTGTCTGTAAGGTAGTTGATCTGTTACATCATAATTCAGAATGATGGATCCTCAAACACTTCATCTTCATATGGTATTACCTTGAAAGAAAAATGTTGAATAAGATTTTGTATGTGATTAACATAATTGATTTTTCCAACAATTACTAAAACAATTTTTTCCCTGTTTTATTACTCAGTACAGTAATAGATTCTTTCCACTGCTGTGGCAGTTCTTCATCATTAAAGACAGAAATGATAAATTTGTTGCTCACATCAAATTATGTTTCGTCCTTGTTTTCTTTTTTAATTACCATGAAAACTACAAACAAAGGTTTGCTTTTATTTAATTCAGCATATGCTCACATATGCATCTTACAGTGTGTTGCAACTGTGCTCATGTCAGAAGATTTGTATATTAAAATTTCACAGGAATTTAATGTAAGTCCTCAGGTGACAGCCACTAAATAATTTTATGTTTTTATGTTTGCAGGTTGTGAAGTTGAGTCTCATCTGCGTAACCCTGCTGTTGAAATAGACTCTCTGCTCAATCGTTTGGAGAGAGTAACAACTCGTTTGGAGGAATCCGTTGGAGTGGCAAGTGAATCGCTGTTGAGACAGTCTGCTTCTCAGACCACAGTTACAGAACCATCACGACTGCTTCCATCACCAGAGCCAACTGGCAAGATGAGTGTGGCAGCATTTAGTGACATCATTCAGGGGCCACTGTCGCAGTACCTGCAGTTGTCGGCTAAACTTGGTGGTGACGTGACCACTCACTCAAGGCTTGTTGAGAAAGCCTTCCAGTAAGTTGTTCCCACACTGGGTTAGTTATAGCTGTGTGTGCAGTTATAAAAGAGCAGAATGGTGTTCTCCAGTTCTGAGTGTTTACAGTTTTGTGTATGATATTATTCATATACAAGTTTACTGTTGCAAAGTTTATTATATTACAGATATCACACAGTACATTACCAAATTATTTTCCCTTGTATCTCATTGCATGCTCACCGTAATGAGCCGCCACCACAAATTTGTCTCCTTGAGAAACCAGTAATTGCGTATGTAGTAAAGAAATTTCTTGCTTTCTCTGGAAGCTGCCATGTTCACCTATCTTGCATGAGATTAACCCAGTCCAGGCCTTGCTTCTTTAATGTCCACTTTATTATTATTTTCTCAGCAGTGTATGTCCAAAGTGTAGTCTTCATGTTTTCTCACTAATGTTTTATGTGCATTAATGAACTCTTGATTTAATTATCCTGATGTATTCAATGTAGAGTATAAATTTCATATATTTGTCATTTTAAAATAATTTTAAATAATGTTCATGTATTTTAATGGGATGTGTGTACAGGTGTCCCATGAGGAAAGGTCAGTATTCTGGGAGGTCATAATATCGGTCCTTCTAAGCAAAAAAGTGTACATGTGTCCTATTCCAAACGGTTGGTTGTTTACTAGTAAGATTTAGTGATCATTGTTTATGCTGTGTTGCTCTGCTGTCACTTAACTCTGTCAGCAGTAGGCTTGTATTTTTGATAATGTTTATCAGCACCAATGAGGGTCAAAAATTTTACACATTTTTAATCAGAACCACTGAACTTTCTTCTTAAGTGGGATTCGGGGCTTTTATGACGTTGAGTACAAAAATGGCTGTCTTATGTATTGTAGCGTCATGTAGTCTGGTAGAAGTTTACCAACGTTTGAAAGATCCTTGCTGCTTCCATGATCTGGACAATTAACTTTCTTGTTAATTTCCAGCATCTCATATACATGTAAAATTCGTGCTCTTCATTGTGTGCCAATTTGTTGTTGATTTTACCTGTATTTGTCTAGGGCTCAGTCACAGTTCCTGAGTGTGGCGTCCCAATCCAAGGCCCCCTCAAACCAGTCTGATATTATGAAGCTGCTGGAGCCTACATCAACTCAGATAATTGCAGTTATGGATTTCTTTGAGAAGAATCGTGGGTCACCTCACTTCAACCATTTAAATGCAGTTAGTGCAAGCATATCGGCTCTCAGCTGGGTTACTGTGGTGAGTTTTTCATATTGGATTGTACTGTACTATGTGTGAGGTTGAGGTAGTCATGGCAATGTAGACTTGCAACTACAAGTCTGCATGGCATTACAACCCAGAAGACCAACACTGATGTGTGTTAAGAGGTCTGTCCAAAAAGTATCCAACTATATTTTTTTCCCCACGGTAAGTGATGGCAAAAGGGTGGGGAAACGGAGCGTAGTGGTAGAAGGGACTTTCATGAGCATGCGTGATTTTTTACTTCCTCGCAGCACCGCTGGATGCGTCTGTCGCTGCCAGATAGCGAAGTGATGTAACATGTGTTCATCACATTCTCGTTTCGCTCAAGATGACGTAACGCTTGGAGCAGCAATAGTGCATCAAGTTTTGTCAGAAACTTGGGGATACCCAAGCGGAAACAATCCACAAAATTCAGCAGGCTTTCGGCGATGATGCAATGGGGGTCACTCAAATTAAAGAGTGGTTCAACCGCTTTAAAGATGGCCGTATGTCGGCGGACAGTGACCAGCGTTCTGTGAGACTGTCAACGAGCCGAAATGCTGATGTCATTGACAAAGTGTGGACATTGATCATGGAGGACCGTCGTTTGACCCTCCGGGAAATTGCTGATGAGGTTGGGATCGGCAGAGGTTCCGCAAACACGATTTTATCTGAGGATTTGGACATGCGAAGAGTGGCGGCAAATTTGTGCCCAAGCTGCTTTCGCTGGAGCAGCAACAACTCCGCCTCGAGGTCGCGCAGGACGTGCTAGAGTGCGCCAACAGGGATCCTGAGTTCCTGAAGACTGTGATCACTGGTGACGAGTCATGGGTATACGGATATGACCCGGAAACCAAGGTCCAGTCGTCACTATGGAAGCATCCAACATTCCCGAGGCCCAAAAAAACACGACAGGTTCGGAGCAATGTGAAGGTGATACTGACTGTTTTTTTTTCGATTACCGGGGTGTTGTGCGTCATGAATACGCACCACTAGGCAAAACTGTCCATAAGGAGTACTACCAAGAAGTCCACCATTCCAAAACAAGCCTTCCAAAATTTCTTCCAGCGATGGAAGGACTGCTGGGCTAAGTGTGTGGAGTCACAAGGGGCCTACTTTGAAGGGGACTAGGTATTGTAACCCCCCAGATACAGAACTTTGTTTTCCCGGCCCAAGGTCGGATACTTTTTGGACAGACCTCGTATATTTGTTTCATTAACTCTCTCTCTCTCCCCCCCCCCACTTCCCCCTTTATCTTCATAATAAAAGAGTTTATGTAGTTTAGAAGAATCGTAATTGATAGTGGTACGTTGCAAGTTACTTTATATCAGTGACATTTTCCAGTTTGTAACACCATGTGATGGTGTGTACCTACAAGTCTGCACAGTTCTATGATCCAGGGGACTTTTTACTGACGTCTTCATTGCCATGAAAATTTTAAATTTCATAAGTTGGTTTGTATAACATATGTGAGTTTTGACGTTAAGGAGGCTAATTTTTATTTGTGGCTTATGGAAGCAGATGTGATCAGATCGTAAATCATGCCTGCAAGTGTTTTTCTTGGAAGTTTGTAAGAAATGTGTGAACAATTATATGAGTACGAGATTTAAGTTTTTAATGGCAATGAAAATGTGGGTTGTGACATTTTCTAGTCTTGTAAGTGATTGTAGCATTATGAAGGAACCCCACTTATAAGACTGTACAGTGTCACAACTCAGAAGACCACAATCTTCAAGTGAAGTGAATGGTAATTTTGGAATAAAGTTAATTTGTTGATGTTATTTGCATATTGCACATGCAATAACATACGTTTCTATATTTCAGCCATCTGTTCCAGCTCCTTATGTGAAGGAGATGAATGACGCAGGACAATTTTATACTAACCGTGTACTGAAAGACTGGAAAGAAAAGTAAGTGTATGGTATGCAGTAGATAATGTTAGTAGAGCTTGTGTGTGTGAATGATATATGGAAGTTAGGTTCTGGTATATATGAATCGCAACAAAATCTACTCAAGAGTCTGTATGTTACTATTAATGATGAAAAGCTGTAAAGATTAGTATCAATCTAGGATCTCAGTGTTATTAATTATTGTATGTGTATTTTCATGTAAATATTACAAATGTAATTATGCGCGTAAGAGGTCGGGCTTTGTAATGAGGAACTCAAGACATCAAAATTATTTATATGCTTTCCAGTCTTCTGTTTCATGATACAGTAAGAAGACAACTTTAGTTTGCTTCCAACATTTGGTCTCAATTATATAACTTACATCAAATTCATTTTGTATAAGTACTGAAGAAGCAAACTATTTTCTAGACATTATCCAAATTCCCAGATTAAACAAAACATGACATTTCAGTGATTGGAGTATATCTCAGTCCTCAGAGATAGGGACTAGCTCAATCAATTGGGCCCAAAAGAGTAGGTTTTACCTGAAGACAGAGATAGACTCCAATCTCCAAAACGTGTTTTATTTAATCTGGGACGATGGATAATGTCCAGAAAATAGTTTGCTTCAACAGTGCACCGTCATCACAATCCTTCAGTATTAAAAATACTGAATAGGTCCTTAGAATATGTTTTATTAGAAATGTACATCTGCATACAAAAAAATATATATATAAATTTATTGAATGAATTTAATTGTTTAGTAGGTGTGATATTGGTGGACATGCTTTTCTTTATAAAACTGTAGATGGAGTTTTAGATAATAGTGCATTCATTGAACAAATTAAGTTTTAATATTAGATATTGTAGTCTACATACTCAACATTTCTTATCACATTCCAAAAACGTTAATGTTTAAGAACTTGTCATTACAGTGTACCCCACATAACAAAGTAATCGAACAACAAATTTTCACTTTACCAATTACCTCTGATAGGCTCCCATTGATTCACTTGATGAATTGCTTAGGAAGTCACATGATCACCAATTTTGGCCAATCATAGTGCTCATCAGGCTTCAGTCAATCAGTGATGCCAATTTATGGGTGTTTGGAGCTTGCTTACCATTCTTTGCTATGTTTTCCAAAGTTGAAAATTGTTTTACTGTAATATTTGTATGCTTTGTTGATTCTGTACTGTTTCTATTAATTTTGATCTTTTACCATGTTATTATAATGTTTATTTGCCAAACATTTGGGTTTAAAATTTATAAACTATGCTTTCAAGATCATAAAGGTTACCTTATGACTGTCTTGTTATGAATTAGGCCTTTAATATGTATTTCCCAAGTTCACATTATATTTTTTTATTAATTAGAATTAAATTAGTTATGTGGGGGTCCACTATGTTTAGAATGTGCATATACAGTGTTTCAGTGAAATGTACAAAATTTGATTTCAGTCTCTATTTCTTCAATATTTAAAATTACAGAAAAGTATTTTTATTCTCTGGAATTTGTGTAAGTGTTGGATAACTGATATTTTATAAAATATTGTATTTTTCTTTTTTTGTACCATAGCTTGTCTGTTGTTGTTATTATATAGAAAGAGCTTTTACATTATTTTATATGTATTGTATTGAGAAGTATGTAATTCTTTAAACAGGTAAAATAATTTATCTAGGACATAGGTCACTTGAAAGTGATCACAGGTGTATCTTATTGTTGCCCAGAATGGCCACCATTTTGTCACAAGTTTGACTTGATATTCAAGTGCAAGGCGTTAATTTTTTATACCATATATATTTAAAGAAATGGTAAAAGTTTCCTTTCATTTGTTATATGATTTCAAAAAAAATGTTATGAATTTCTGTCAGCTCTATTGATAATTAAATTTTTTTGATGATGAAAAAGTGCAGCAGTGGAAACTGAGCACAGGTTGTATTACCAGTATGACAATGTGAATAAGTTATTATTGTGGTATGTTCATGAAACTAACAATTACATGGGAAGCAATCAGGCACAACATTAGAAAAAAGTGTTGTTCCCCCCCCATATATATATATATATATATAGCGAGAGAGAGAGAGAGAGCGAGAGCAGATAATATTTATTCTGAGGTTTAAGTGAGATACAGTTTACTGGAGACATAGTGGGAGTGTAGACAATGATGAGAACTCTTTTCCCTTGCAAGAGGTCATGAGTTTTTGTTGCCTGAAATACATTAAAAGATATTTCTTTTTCAGAGCCTGCAGATTTTGAAGTGTGTTTATCCGTTTTGGAATGTTTTGTTCATAATATAGTTGACGGGTGACTGCATACAGTGGAATGCTACATAACTTGTGCACTTTGTTCTTGACTGTTATTTTCCTCTTGCATATTTGTTTTTGAAGGGACAAGACCCACGTGGACTGGGTGAAGTCCTGGATCCAGACGCTGACAGAACTCCAGCAATTTGTAAAACAGTACCACACGACAGGATTGGTTTGGGGTGGTAAAGGGGCTGCTGCAGTGCCCCCACCTCCACCAGGCCTCCCTCCACCCCCACCAGTTTTGCCAGTTGGTGATATTGCTCCATCTGGGGACAGTACTGTGGACCGCTCTGCCCTTTTCAAAGATATAAATAAGGGTGAAGCAGTTACATCAAGTGAGTGAGAATTGTTTCTTCCATCTTGTCTTTTATTATTGTTTTCCTCATTTGTCTTTGTCCTCTTGTCCTGTTGGACATCGGACCATTTGGTGACTCTGCATGGATATTTACATGCAGGTGTGCCTAGTTCACATAGGAATTACATTTGATGACATCTGACTTTTAAGACTCTGATCACATACTGCCATCTGTCTTTGGTTACTGGTGTACATAATTCGAGATTTTATGGTCTGGTTATGAAATAAATGGAACATGAAGGTTGATCTGGTTGTGTGGAGGAAGTGTGGAAAATTACTAAGAGAAATGTTTCTGACATGTAACATACGTGTGGAATTTTGATGAAGATGGTGATTGTGTACTAAATATGGTTCTTCTGTGTATTGCATTTGTACAGATATGGTGAGGGAGGCTGACAAGCTGATTTCCAATGTTTCCTGTACTTCCTCTGCTAAACTAATTGACAGACCTGTATAATCTGAAGACTGGGACTGTCCATGTGCTATGCAGTACTGTTCAAATTTACACTCTTTATACATTCACTGGTTTATCTAGGTTACTGAACCATAACCTGTCTTTTCTTTGCCTCACATGCTTTGTATACAGACACTTTGCTTAAGACTACTGCAGTAAGACTGTTAGTTATAATCAGTCTTCACAGTTATTTTTTACGTAAATACATCTATACGGAAGGGTCATTTGGCAAAAGAGCATAATGAAGATGTGTAAGATCCATATCAACAATGTGTAAATATGGACTGTCAACAATGGTTATGTTACCTAAGAAACTAATTGTTACATCATCTGTTTACTCGGCATTGTTGTGTTACATTACTGACATCAACAATCCGCTGTGAATCGCTTGTAGAAGAAGTGCGTCATAGACTAGATAATTTTGTGCTGGTAAAAACGTTTTAGAATATCACAAGTACTTATCTTATGTAAGAATTATTATACGAGGGTCGCTCATTAAGTAATGCCCCACATTTTTTTTCTCAGCCAATAATGAAGATAGAAAAGTGTACTTTTACATGCTTGAGATTTGATGTGTCCCGCGTTCGTGTACGGAGTTTCAAATGATTCCAACCGATAGCGGAGCTGTAGTGAACTGTTAAAATGGCGTCTGTGAACGACTCTCGTTACAAGCAACGAGCTGTAATTGAATTCCTTGTTGCTGAAAAAGAAACGGTGGTGAACATTCATAAACGTTTGTGTGCTGTGTATGGAAGCTGTGCAGTCGATAGGAGCCCCGTTGGTCGCTGGGCTAAGAGAGTTAAAGCTTCAGGAAGTGAAGAAACCGAGCTCCGTGATCTGCCGCGCTCATGTGGGGCATTACTTAATGAGCGACCCTCGTATTACATTACATTTCATTACATTACAGAGACGTATTTACGTCAGATTCTCCGGAACCGTGGTTCCACTGTCAACTTTTATTCCATACTTCTGTACTGCTTACTTAGTTTAATGTTTAATATTAATATTGTTATGTAATGTTAATATTTATACTGTTATAGACAGTTGGAACTATCTATGACATTTTCGTGGTGTGGTTGATAAAATGGCACATCCCTCACTGTAAATAATTCAAAATTCATTGTTCTGTCAAGAAATGCTGGCTTGAAGTTTTTAGTGGTTTAAAGAATGAGTAAGTGAAGTTTGACAAAGCTGTGACAGGCCTGACACTTACGAGAAATTATTTTTTTAAATTAAGAAATTTATTATATATTCAGATTACAAATGGATTTTAAATTTACAGTATGGTTTTGTTATACAGTACCCTAAAGCAAAACTAAGATAAATATTGGTTGAATAGAACCTCAATAACATACATTAATAACCTGGTGTAACTTATGAAATGGTTTTGCTTCGTTATACATGTTAACAGAACATGGAATAATGGAAAAACCTTCTGTTTGTTCACGTAATTGCCAGAATAATTGAGGCATTTGCCCTAATAGTACATGACTTGTCAGATCCGCACAGAAAACAAATCAGGACTCATTGTTTACACCCTTTGGTGCACTTTAGTCTTGATGGAACTTTGGGATCCACTGGACATTGTGCTTATTGGGTTCCTGGGGCATGAGACAGTCACTCTAAGCGCAGCCATACAAAGAAAGGGAGCAATCGTAAAGCCTGTCTAACCCAAATTGAACCCCAGAGCACCTCTTTTCTTTCTTTTGTCTTTATATATACATATGTGACTGCTTAACGTTGTGCCACCTTCCTTCTGCATCCTTTCAAATTCATTGTTCAACAATTTTCCTATCCAGTGCAACATGAAAGGTAATGAAAATCAGGATGATAGGCCAAGTACGTATTATACAGGTTGTGAAAGATCATAAGGGTTTTTGAATACCTCATGTGTATCCAGTCCATGTTTTACCATAACATGCGTTACACAATAGAAGTCATATTTGACAGATCTGCCAAAGAATTTGGTTTCCAAGTAAATGAGTCCAAAATAATATGTATGGTGGTATCAAAAAGTGAAGAACGCTGAAATAGAATAGGGCAGAACCTTGTGATCAGATGGTGTAATTTTGAAGTGTTAAGGAATTTTCATATCTAGGGTTAAAAGTTAACTTTATTAACAACATCGATGACAAAATACATAACCGAATACTCCTTGCCATTGGAGTATATTATGGTATGCCCAACTTGTTTACATCACGACCCTTATCTAAAAAACAAAGTGTCTTCTTCACAAAACATTAATACTCCCAGTACCATTATATGCACCTGAAATCTGGCCTTTTAACACCAAAAAAAATTGAAAAGCCTTAAACACATTTGAAAGAAAGATACTGAGGAAAATGTATGGCCTCATTCAAGAAAATGGTGTTTGGAAGAAAAGACATAACCGTAAGCTGTACAACTTATATAGTGACATTGACATTTTTTTAAAAAAAACACAAGAATTTCCAGAATGAAGTGGGCAGGACATGTGCTAAGAATGAAAGACAAATAGCCCACAAATAAACTGATGTTAGGAAAATCTGCTGGTACTAGAAGACGTGGAAGACCCAAGCTACGATGGATTGATGGACTTGAAACGATCTTTACAACATCAGTATTTGAAACTGGAAAAACATTGCCCTCAACCATTACTGATGAAGGCGTTGGCTTGAGCAGACCAAGGCGCGCACCCTGGGCTGTAGCACCCGTGAATGATGGATAGTTTTTGGGAGTGTATCCCCCCCACCAAAAAAGCAATAACATATTTTGAATACAATTTTAGGAGCTTTGTAGCAGAGAATGTACAAATATGACATCATTATGCTCATTGGAAAGACAGAAGGAACTGTCCTCTTCATTAGGTAAATATGTGCACATCTGAGGTAGGACCAAAATCACCCACTAAGTGTTTTATTTTGTTCATCTTACAAGGTAATTTTACTGTTGTGAACTGATGTGCCATCACTTCATATTTTGCAGTCTTTCAACTTTTGTACTAAAATTCCTTATGAAGTGTAGGAAGGACCCTTGTGAGTGGTGTGACTTTGGTTGATGTCTGCCAGAGCTGATATTGCAAACACTAACTCGGGCACACGTGGTGTGCTGGATATCGTATGTTTTGGCAGCAGAAGTCAAAACATGCAGCGTATTACAACTGGAGAGCAATTGCTTGCCTGTACTCATGACTGGATCCCAGTTTCTGCATGCATTGTCCACCTTGATGACACTATTAACTGACTGCCTCATGCCAAGTTGCAAGTCGACATTTCCAAAATATTTCCTATTGCATATCGGATTCATATTTAGCAAATTTTTCAGAATTTATTATGGCTCTAATTCATCTTGAACTTTGAAACAGTAAAACATTCACAAAGATAATGGCTTTATGCAGATAACTAATGTTCTTAAGTCTTCACATAGCATTTGGTTGCATTACCGTATCTTAGAAGTAGAAATACTACTATTTCAGCAGAACGAGAAATGTGGACATACAATTTCCATCGTGATAACTGTGTGGGATATTTAAGTTTAGAATACCACTGAAGCTTATGTTGAAATACTCTATGTCTTTAGACTGTTAACCAGTCAGTCTGTCATATAGCATTCACTGTATGTTCATTTACTGGGACTTTTTGCCTCATATGGCAGTGTGAGGTTATGGTAAAGAGATGATTGTTTAAAAACATTGCTTGACAAATAACATAATTATGGGTCATTTAATGAAGTACATTATGTGAACGGATTTATGTTGATTATTCTTTTAGTCGATGAAGATACTTGAAAGTTATTGAGTTGGCAAGAATGCTTCTAATTCTGTGTATTCAAGAGCCATTATCTTATCACTTGTGGAACATAAACTTAAGCAAGTAATCTAATACTTGGTGTATCTTTAGAGGGTTAACCAGTCTGCTTAGACAGTGAAGATAGTTGAAAGTTATTGAGATGACGACAGATTGTAATCTTATATAATCAAGATTCATCTTATCACTGATTTTGAAACTCATTTGCTTAATTGCTCAGTTTAGCTGATTGAATGCACTGTACTTGTTATTTTCCTTACAGCACTAAAGCACGTAACACCAGACATGCAGACACATAAGAATACTACATTGAGGACAGGCCCTGCTCCCTTTAAAGCACCAGTTGTTACAAACACCCACAGGCCTGTTAGCGCTCCCAAGGTGGCAGATAAGCTGCCTTCACTTCATAAAGATGGGAAGAAGTGGATTGTGGTGAGTGGAATTGCTTCACAGTTAACACAAACATTTGGGTCACATTTAACTGGCAGATTTTATTGGAATTTTCAGTGCTCAGCATGCCTCTTGCGGGATTCAGATTAGATGGCTACATGTGCTGTGAGTTAAAACATTAAGTGTGAGTGGTTCTTGTTCTGTCCACTTTCCTTCACAGGTGTTACAACTTGGTGAAATTCTTTTGTGAAAATTAGGTGTTCCAGATCGTACTTTCATTACATTGATGTTTTCTTTGGTTTTTGAAAATGGAAGGACAAAGATCATAGCATCATATTTTACATAGACACGGTAGATACCTAATTATGAGGGTGTTTAATTATTAATTTGAAGTTTCTCTTGACAGATTGTAAGAACATGCTGCTAAGAATGTGATGTAAGACCTAGGACAGTCATGTTCGAGGTGAAGTGTTACAAGATCATATCTTGTAGATATGTCTTTCTCAGTGCAATAGATTGTAACTTACCCACCATTATATTTTAATGCTAGTACAGTCGTGTCTGAGGGAGTTTTTGTGAAACGCTGTCCTTTATGTAGTCGAATGCGCTGTGCTAGGTGGAGGGGAAGGTCCATGATCCATCCTCAGTGGATTAGAATGTGAGTTGGCCTCTATCCTCCTTGATGTGGTGATGAGAGGAATATTACAGAACCCAGTTTGAATAGAATCTTGACTGTACAGTCCATAGCCCATCTCTGTGTGGACTGAATAAATGTCAAGAATTCTTCATGTAAATGTAAAATTAGCATTTTACCCAGAAGATGGGTATTCAGAGTGAAGTTCAAGCTCCACATGTTCTTTATTGTGACAGTAGGTTTTTGGTGTTTTATCTATAGGAAAGGAGCCTTCAGTGCCAGTTGGGTGGACACCAAACCTGATCTGGACATGATGGCAATAGCCCCCCCCCCCCCC